AACAATGTAATGTAGAAAAAAAATCGGAAGTAATTTATACAAAAACATTCTTAAAATTAAAATTTTCTTGAAATATAATAGTTTTTAAGCATTTTTGGGTTAGAAATTGAAAAGTTTACATTTTTGACATAATGTAAACAATGGGTAAACAATAGGTTAAACTGATTATATAAGATTTTTATTAACAGATATGGAAGCTTAAGAAATTTGTAAGATTTTACATTATTTACCTAAGGTAAACAATGCCATGTAAACAATGCCTAAGGTCAAAAACTGTTATTCAATGAAATTTGTTTACATTTTCTACAAATTAAAGAAATAAAACGGTTTTTAAGCACTTTTAAGCAAAAATTAAAAGTTTACATTTTTGACATTATGTAAACAATGGGTAAACAATAGTTTTAAGTGGTTATACAAGATTTTTATTAACATATATGGATAGCTTAAGAAATTTGTAATATTTTACATTATTTACCTAAGGTAAAAAATGTCATGTAAACAAAACCTTAGGTCAAAAATTGTTATATTCAAAGAAAATTTTCTACATTTTGCTTTAAAAATATTTATAAATAATTTTCGGTGCTAATTTCAAATTTTACATTTTTGACATTATGTAAACAATAGGTAAACAATAGTTTTAAGTGGTTATATAAGATTTTTATTAACAGATATGGATTGCTTAAGAAATTTGTAAGATTTTACATTATTTACATAAGGTAAACAATGACACGTAAACAAAACCTTAGGCCAAAAACTGTTATATTCAAGGAAATTTGTTTTAAAATTGTTAATATGTGAATTTTTTATGCTAATTTAAAATTTTACATAATGTAAACAGTGGGTAAACAATAGGTTTAAGTGGTTTTGACTTATTTTTATTAACTGATATGGATTGCTTAAGAAATTTCAAAGATTTTACATTATTTACCTAAGGTAAACAATGCCATGTAAACAATGCCAAAGGTCAAAAACTGTTATATGCAAAGAAATTAGTTTACACTTATTACAATTTTGAGAAAAAAAAATTTTAAGCAAAAAAATAAAAGTTTACATTTTTGACATTATGTAAACAATAGGTAAACAATAGGTTTAAGTGTTTATATAAGATTTTTATTAACAGATATGGATAACTTAGGAAATTTGTAAGATTTTACATTATTTACATAAGGTAAACAATGACATGTCAAAAGAAACTGGGGTCAAAAATTGCAATTTTAAAGGAATTTTTTGTCTTTTTTGTCCTAAACTTTTTTATAAGTCATTTTTTGTGTTAATCTAAAATTTTACATTTTTTACATAATGTAAACAAAGGGTAAATAATGTTTTTAAGTAGTTATATGAAAATTCTTTTAACAAAAATGAATTGCTTAAGAAATTTTAAAGATTTTACATTATTTACCTAATGTAAACAATGTAAAGTAATAGAATTTTAATGTAAACAATGTAAAAATTAAAGAAAATTTAGATTTTTTTTCTGTTTTTTAAATTAACTTTAAAGTAAATAAAAGTAAACTAATAAAATTTTAAGAATTTTATTTAACTTTCTCTATAGTTTCAATAACTAAACCTTGAGTAGTTTATGTATTTTCTAAAATTCTTTTATCTATTTTATATTCTGCGGGTTTTTTTCTTGTCTTTTAGGTTTTTCCTAACTTTAGACTTTTAAGTGACTTTCCATTTTATCTGTAAGTGTATTTCTGTGGTTGTTAATGTAAAACCCGCATTAATTTTATAGAAAAAATTGCATTGACATAATTTCATTTAACCTCTTTTTCTATGTATAATTTTAAAATAAAATTGAAAGTATTAAAAAACAAAGAAAAACTCTAGCTACCAGCAAAAGTAAGTAGTTACGCGCCAAAATATTTAAACCAGCTGTTAAACGTAAATTCCCTTAATGTCTTATACAAAGTCTGGCACACGTTTTTTTTTGTGTTAATAAGTAAATCACCTGGTCTGAGATTTCTTTAAGTTACCCTTAAAAACAGCTGTCTTAAACTCAAACTCAAACACACACCTTTCTTGCATTACTTTATATCTTAAGATCTATATGAAAACAAGGTTTAGTTTTGGGTCTTTTGCTCGTGTGAATTTGCACCTTTTGATTTTGATTTACTGGCTATTGTTAAGATTTCTTTAATGCGCAAGTCTAGGGTAGGTTTTCTTTAAGACGTTTTACTGTTTTCTTAATTCATTGTTAGCAAAACGTCTTGGGTTTTTTGTTGTTTATTTAAGATTTATAGGAATTCTGTTTCTTTGAAATTTTAACTGTTTTTTTCTAGAGGGTTTCTTCTAGTCAGTTAGGGGTTGTTAGTTATTTGTATGGGAATTTTTTTGTTGTTGTTTCTTAGGGTGTTTTGTTAGTTAGTTTAGTTTTTGCTTGTGGCTTATGTAAGTTAAAATGGGTGGGAATTTCTTTGGCCTTACCTTGTTTTCCTTTTTATTTTGAAATGACAGTTGCGTCATGGAAACTTATTATTATTATTTAGTTGTATAAAAGTTAAACCGTTTTCCGTTGTGGGAAAAGTTCTTTTTAAGAGTCCTTTAAGGAGTTAACACAAAAAAGTAACGGTTTTTTCGCAGAAGTTTTGAGCAGCAAATCAAGAAGTTAAATCAAAAGGGGAGGGTTTTTTAAGTATTCAAAGTTTTATTGTTAATGTATAATTTATACATTTAATATTTTTTAATAAATTCTTTAATTAATTTCTTTTATATCCTTTTTTGTATAAAGAAATCTTAAAAAAAAACAAATTTCTTTAAAACAAATCATGGAAAAACTCAGTATAACTGGCCTCTTCAACTTTGCATTTAAATTTACAATAACAACCTAAACAATTGACAATTATACTTATTATTGTTGTTGTTGTTTTCCTAATATAAATATAACTGTTTAAATCCCACATATGCCAGCCCCCACTCATACTAAGCCACCCATACATACAATGTTGCTAAACATTTCTAAGAGAGAGAGGAGTAAATAATTGTTTTTTTGCAAAAAAATAACGGAAGGATTTTACTTACTGTACAGGTGTGTGTATGTAAGTGAGTGTGTGCTTTTACCCAGCAAACTTTTACAAGACAAATTTGTGCCTGTTTTAGCAGAGTGTTAAAAGATAGTCTCACAATAGACGAAATACTTTTCAAAATTAAAGAAAGAAAAAACGTGACTTGTTTAACATCTGGAAGTAACGTTTTAGACACTTGTGGATGATAGTTAATAGATAGTACTTATTTTACAGAAAATAAACTGCAATGTTTTCTAAGTTTCAACTAATTTTAGAAGACATTTTAAGATTTAACTTTTTTTGATTTATTTCGCTAAATAAACCAAACTTTACATTGTTTACATGAGGTAAATATGCAGTCAACAATTGTTAAATAATAAAAATTCTAAACATTAAGTATTTTTAAAGAATTATCCAATTTTTTTTCAAATTTCTACATACTTTACATTGTTTACCTAATGTAAACAATGGCTAAACTTAATGAAAATAGTTAAAAATAAGATTTTTCTGTTGAAATATTAATTCTTAAAGAGCAATTCTTAAGTATTTAATATTTACTTAAGGTAAACAATGTAATGTAAACAAAACCTTAAGTCAACCATAAAAAATTTTAAAAATTTTATTTTTTAAGAAATTTAACCGTTTTTAAGCATTTTTAGGTTAAAAATTTAAAAGTTTACATTTTTTACATAATGTAAACAACGGGTAAACAATAGGTAAACAATATGTTAAACATGTTTTTGGAACATTTTATTCATTAATTATGTTTCGTTAATAAATTTTGAAAACTTTTTATTGTTTACATAAGGTAAACAATGTCATGTAAACAAAATATGAAATTTTGTTTTGTTGTAGCTTTAAACTTGTTTATATGTTATATTTTGTAATAATTTCAAATTTTACATAATGTAAACAATAGGTAAACAATATGTTAAACATGTTTTTTGTACAGTTTATTCACTAATAATGTTTCGTTAATAAATTTTGATTTTTTTTTAATTATTTACATAAGGTAAACAATGTCATGTAAACAATACTAAGGACAAAAAGTGTAAAATTATAGGAAATTTGTGTACTTTTTGCTTTAGACTTGTTTATAAGTGAATATTTGGCAGTAATTTCAAATTTTACATTGTTTACATAATGTAAACAATAGGTAAACAATATGTAAAACATGTTTTTTAAACATTTTATTCACTAATAATGTTTCGTTAATAAATTTTGAAAATTTTTTATTGTTTACATAAGGTAAACAATGTCATGTAAACAATATTAAGGACAAAAAGTGTAAAATGAAAGGAAATTTGTTTTATTTTTGTCTTAAACTTGTTTATAAGTGAATTTTCGGTGGTAATTTAAAATTTTACATTGTTTACATTAGGTAATTAATGAGTAAACAATATGCTAAAGTTCTTATAACAGATTTTTTCAATTCGTAATAATTTCTTTTTTCATTTTGATCATTTGTAAGACTTTCATGATAAAGAAAGGTTTGCTGGATTTTATGTTGTTGCCATAAGTGTAAATTTTGTTATTGTATACATGGCAATGTGTGTGTATGTGTGTGTGTTTAAAAATAGGGTTTAGTCTTTTAAAAAAAAGTGATTATTTTAGAATAAAAAGAAATGTACAAAAAAAAATGTGAAATAAATGTATAGAAAAACAATTTTGTATAGAATTTTATTAAGCTTTTGACACCTTCAGCTATTATTATTGTTATTGTAGATGGTGTTGTTGTTTCTTTACATATACAAACATACACACACACATATATATGGTTACCGTTTTTTTTTTTCTTTCTAACGGAAAAAGCTAATTAGCTTCTCATTAGGAAAACAAATATAATAATTATTTATAGTTTTTTTTTGACTTCATTTCAAACAGTTAATTAAGGGTATTCACTTAAAGTGGTAATTAAGAAAAAAAGAACACAAAAGGATTTTTTTAGGATTCTATAATTTTAAAGATAATTTTAATATTTGTGTGTGTACTTACCGGAAATTCGAGAACCATTTCACCAATTGTGCTGTATTATTTTTATTGAATTTAATATCGGGAAAATACATTTTCAATACCGATGAGCTGGGATAACGCACCCAGAAGAACATCAATTTCGCCTTTCTCAAATGCATTGGCGTTAGGGTTGAGGAATGCGATGTAGTTAATGAATCGCTATTTTTGCTAAAGTTCAAGCCCACAATTAAAACATTTTGATATTTTCAAAAATATTTTTTTTCAAACAAAAAATAATTAGAAAAAATTTTTTGTTTTTTTTTTGTAAAAATAAATTTGAATAAATCAAAATGCATTAAAAAGAAAACGCCACGTAGTTAATAAAAGTAAATCATAAAGAAAAAGGAAACGGAAATGGGAAAAAAAAGAGAAAACAAATTATATTAATTTATTTGAAAATCAAGAAAAATTGTAAAAAAAACATATTTTCATTTCTAGCAGCAGCAACGAAAAGTTGAAGAAACGATTTGCTATCATGTTTTTTATTTGATTTTTAAGCAAATTTTTATTTAATGATTGATTGAAATGTTGTATAGAAAACGTTTTATTACATTGACTGTTATTTGAAAAGAAAAGAAAGACAGACAGAGAAAACAAGTAAACCCCGGAGCCGGGTGTCAGTAGTGTTAGCATTTGCTATGGCATCTCCTCAGGTTGGGGGAAACAAGAAATGAATTTCAGCGTTGAATTTTTTCTTCTTTTCATTTTGAGTTGGTTTTTTCTTTTTCATTGTGCATTGATTGATTTTGAATGCATTGCACCTTGAGTAGTTGTATTTGGCTGCATAGGGTTTTTGGTTGGGGTTGGTTGGCTGGTTGGTTATATGTTTCGCCTCCAAGATTTGTTGAGGCTTGCATTAATCAATGGGTTCTTTAGCTATTTGCTGCACTGAGTTTTATATATAAATTCTTAAGTTTTTTTCTGCCATTCTGCTAGTGATTGGGGTTGTTGAAATAAGGTTTTGATTTCACTACTACTTATTTTCAAATTTTTTTTTTATATATATATTTTTTATAAGAGTAAGAGAAGAGATTGTTTTATGTAGCTTGTAATTGAATGCAACTACTTAGAGCAGTTGTAGCAGAAATAACAAGTATGTTTACAAAAACAACAAGAAAAAATAAAATAAATATTTATATTATACTACAAGACACTTGATGGGTTTCCTTCTAAAATCAAAACAACATATCAATCAATTTTCCAACTTTCTTTAACAGTTTCTTTCATTAGAAACCTGTTTTTCTTGCTGCTGCCGGAAAAATATGTACAACAACTAAATAAAAGATATTTACTCACATCATTTGTTGTTTCAAAAACGAGATGGTGGGTTGCATACCCTCGAATTGCATATCGGCTGAATTGCAATCGGAACTGCGATCTTGAGCATCCATGGCGGCACGCAAATGGGCACTGTAGTCGGGTGAGCCACCGTGGTGGGCGGCCGCTAAGAGGGCAGGATGTAGCATGGTGGATGGATGTGGCGGCAGTGGTGGTGAGCCATCGCGTGAGTCCATAAGACTGGCGAGGCCGCCGGGTGGTGAGGCTGTAAGTTTCATGTGATGCATTTGAGCGGCTGTGGGCGGGGCATGGGGACCACCACTGTGTGGGCCATGGGGTGGCGGTGGTGGTGCATGCGGTGGATGTGGATTAAAGAATGGACTGTACGGTGAGAAGACTTGTGACTCGTGCAGCGAAGGATTTGGTATGGCGACCGAGGTGGGCAACGAAACGGGCATCATGGGAGGTGGTGGTGGTGGCGGCGCTTGTGGGTGATAGTTAGCGGGCGCTTGACCTCTAGGAGAAGGACTTTGGGCGGGTGTTGTATTGTTATTACTATTGTTGCTGCTGTTGCTAGTGTTCATTAGCTGCTGTTGCTGCTGCTGTAGATTGTTCGCATTTAACGAGTTATTGCAATTTGTATTGTTATTATTGTTGTTCAGCGAGGCGGGATTCATGTTGTTGTTATTATTGCAGGGTCCATTGTTTTGATTCGATTGCAATTGTTGTCCATTGTTTTGTGGGCTGGGCGGTACCATGCCGTCTTGAGCCAATATTCTGCTAACCGTACGTGGTGTTATGCGTGTATCGGTGACCTTATGACGTTTCTTTTTGGGTGTCACTACCAGACTCAAGGCTTCATTTTGCTCCAGCAACTGTTGCTGCTGCTGCTGTTGTTGTTGCTGCTGCTGTTGTTGCTGTTGCTGCTGTTGTTGTTGCTGCTGCTGCTGTTGTTGCTGCTGATCTCTGGGTTCGGGCATACAGAAGGGATTTGGTTGCATGGGTCCTACTTGGCCTCCGGTCATCGAATTGTAGAGGGCTGCTGCAGCCACGGGATTCATGCCTTGTGGTGTCTTGGGTGCCTGAAACATTGCTGCCGCTGTGGGCGAAGGTCGTATATGAGGTGGTGGTATATTTATGGTACTTAAACTATTGTTGTTAGTATTGTTACAGTTATTATTGTTATTACTATTATTATTGTTCGTACTCATATTGTTCAGATTGTTAAGATTGTTCAGATTGTTAAGATTGTTACTATTGTTATTATTACTATTGTTACTACTCAGATTGGCCATGTTCACATTGACATTGACACTATTGTTGTCATTGAGATTTTGAGCATGATGTGCTTGATTGAGAACCTGCAGGTTTTGCTGTTGGCCAGAGGCGGCAGCTGCGGCTGACATAGCAGCCGCCGCTGCTGCATGATGCATTTGTAAGCCCATCGCTGCAGCAGCTGCTGCTGCTGGCGAGGGAAATGACAGTTGACTGCCGTTGAGGCGTGGTGCAGCTATGAGACTTTGACAAGTCTGAGCATTTAATTGGGCGGCCATATTTGGCGTAACAACTTGATTTGTGGTCGTTGGGGCCAGTGTTTGACAAGGATTGTTCATGTGCTGTGGTGGCACATTAACATTGACATTGACACTGTTAACCGGTCCTGCCGTTAGCAGAGGTGGGCCTGTGTTACTTACATTGCTGTGCAAGTGACCCAATTGTTGTTGTTGTGGCGTTTGTTGTTGTGGTATATTTGGATTAGAGTTAGTATTTGGATTATTATTTAAACTATTCGTTGAGCTATTAGTATTATTATTACTATTATTATTATTAACTAGGAGTAGAGTACCATTATTACCTGCATTAACTCCTGCTGTTGATTGGGCGGATTGTGAGCTGTTCGTGCTGTTGTTGTTCGATCTGTCGGCCTGTTTTGTGCGTGGCGATTTGCGATCCAAGATTTGTGAGGCCAACATCAGATCCTTGTTCAGTTGCTCGGCAGCAGCGGCCACTGAATCGGATTGTTTGCTGAAGAGGCGTCTTTGGTGAACAAATCGCGTGACAATTGTGTCAACGAGAGCTGAGAGTGAAGTAGTTATTTCGGATTTTAGGACATCGGCTAGACCTTCGAGGTCGGCTCCCGACATACGCATGATCGAATTGGAGCTGGAACGCAACATATTGAATTTTTCCGAGAGTTCAGTCTTCAGGGCGGTATTGTGGCGGCCATGATGTCTGTTGTGATGCAATTGAGGTCTGGGAGGTTGTTGCATGGTTTGTTGTTCTTGTTGCTGCTGCAATTGTTGCAGCTGGTGTTGTCTTTGCAACTGTTGTTGTTGCTGTTGAGCCTGTTCTTCTTTGCGTCTCTGTTGTTGCTCCTGCTCAAAGCGTCTTTGTTGTTCTTGTTGCTCTTGCTGCTGCTGCTGTTGAGCTTGTTGTTGTTGCAATTGTTGCTGTTGGGCCTGTTGTTGCTGTTGTTCGGCAGCTTCTTTGGCCATTCTAGCTTCCTGTTCGAAGAAGAACTGTTGGCCCAAATACATAGCAGCAGCATTGCTAATAGCCGGATGAGGTAAACCCCCTTCAGGCGTCTGCAATTGTGGCATATGCTGCAACAAAGGCAGTGGAGCATTGAACGATTGCTGCATATGAGCATGCTGTACTAAAGGATTGTGCAATTTACCCGTGATCATTTTGCTCATCATTTGAGACAGCACATTATTGGGATTTGAATCTAAATTCAAAGATGAATTAGATGTGGCCAAATGCTTACCATTTTTCAAGTTCAATGAAGGCGAAGTGGAGGAGGCTCTTTCATTGTCTACTGTCTGTTTTACTTCGTTGAGCGAAGGAGATGGTGAAAGATCACCATTGTTCTCCTCTTGTTCCATGCTATCGCTGTTGTTGTCTTCGATTTCTTGACACTCCGATTCCTGTTCCATGCGTGAGCATAATTGCACATACTTCTGTTGCATCTCGGCCAATTGTTCCTGCATGGATCTCAATTGGGATTTGAGAGCATTCTTTTCATTGCGCTTTTGCTGCAATTGAGGTGATTCATTTTCATCGGAATCACCATCATCGGTGAGCATCATACTTTGTAGATTGAGACCAAAATTAAGACCAGCGGCAGCAGCCACATAACGTTCCATGGCGTGTTGCTGAGGCTGGTACAGTTTACGCTTTTTGCAGCCATTTACTTGCAAATGTTGCTGCGATGAGGGACTGGCACGCATGGTAGATACTATATTCTCCACACGGGCACGCTTTAAGTCCGATTTTTTGTTTAGACCAGGATTAAGTTCCTTATCCATTTCCTCTTCTAAATCATCTTTGCTATTATCCAATAACATCATGTCAGATTGGCTGGGTGAAGCCAAAGACTCCAAATCGGAGCGTGAATTCAAACCCATTAGCTCAACATCTTCCAAGATGTCATCGGCTTCCTTTTTGGTAACTTGAGCAGGCAAATTTAGATCATTTTGTTCATGATCATTATTATCCAAATGATCTGCTTCGCTTTGATGATCCTCGAGATCATGTTGCGATTGCAAACCTTCAGAATCAGACGATTTACGTCTTTCTTGAGCCACTGAACCATTCATAAGTTCTAGAGGTGTTTGCTGCACCAAAGGCTCACTTTTGATTTTAATTTCCGACATGGAATCTTCTATCAAATTAATAACATTCGAAGAATTTTCTTTGCTTTCAGAATTATTGTTGTTGTTATTATTATTGTTATTGGCCAAAGAGGAATTATTGTTATTGTGCTTTAGCGTAGAGTCCTGGCTCTCCTTCATCTGTTGCTGCTGGCTGATGACAGATCTCAATTCCTGATCCAACTGCATGAGCTCTTTCTTGCCCTGCAAAATATTGCGCAACATGTGATGAGCCAAATCATTTTGCTGCTGTTGCAGCGAGGGAGAATTGGGAGCTCCTGAGCTAGTGGTGACCACACCATTGGTGGATGTATTGCCCACAGAGGGTGTTCTTGGCGGTGAGTTTAACATATCCTGAGAACGTGTAACCAAACCATTTTCCTCCAAAGACCTTTCACTACAATTACTAGTGCGACGATTTTTGGGAGTGGGAGTTTGAGGCGAGATTTGTTGATCATTTGAGTGATTGTTGCTATTACTGCTACTGATGGTATTGTTGTTATTGTTGAGCAATTTATTCGAGTTGTTTAGACCCAAACTGTTGACCAGATTGGCGGCACTGAGGAGTTCGGCATTGGTGGCCGATTCCATGGCAGCGGCCAGCATGGCATTATCCAAAGAGGTGGGTAAACCACTGGTAGCATCCTGGGCCTGCTTCATTTGACGACCAAATAGTTCGTTTAACATTTTAGCCGAACCGAAACCGTTGGCCCCAAACAAATTACCCAAAGCGGTTGTAAATTGACCCGTTAACAGAGACGAGGTGGGCGACGAGGATACCGAACCCGAATTGGGCGAATTTAACGAATTTAAATTGTTATTATTACACGAAAATGTTTTATTGGTTAAAGGTGAGTTTGAGGTTGAGGATTGTTGTTGTTGTTGTTGTTGTGAAGAGTTTAATAAGGCCCCATATAGAGCTTGTCCAGCGGCACCCGCGGCAGCCGCAGCAGCACTACTCATTAAGGCAGCAGCTGTTGACGGCGTTAATACGGCAGGCGTTTGACCGAGCAATTGTGGACTTGTAGAATTTTGCAAATGACTTATAAAATTTGGCAATGAGGAAAAAACACTTAAATCACTTTTTTGCTGTTGTTGCTGTAATTCCTCTAAAGAATTTAGCAAACAATCATTAGATGAATTATTCAAATTATTTAAATTATTTGCATTGAGATTTGTTAATTTCGTACAAAAATCATTCACTTGTTTATGGGTTTCACTAAATAAATTATTTGTATTATTAGCAGCAGTTGCTGAGTTGGGATTTGAGTTTAAATTTGAATTTGTATTTAAAGGAGATTTTGATAATTTTATTTTTAAGGACGATTTTGTCACGTTATTAACTTTGAATTTTGTTTCCTTTTTATTGATATTACTTCCACTAGTAGTTGAGTTATTATTATTATTTATATTAGTATTCGTATTAAGTTTATTTGAATTTTTTATGGAATGTAACGTATTTAAGGAATTTCTAAAATTTTTTAAGCCGCACGACGACAATGACGATGTTGTCTTATTGACGGCACCTTTATGACTACTTTCTAAGTTATCATCAACGTCTGTTACGACTTGTTGTTGTGTAGTATTTGTGAATGTGGATGATGATGGTGATGACGATGAGGTCGTATTATTATTATTCTTCGTCGTAGTCGTCGTCGTCGTTGTCGTTGAAGTCGTAGTTGTTAGAGCTGTTGTTGTTGTGGTGGTAGTAGTCGTAAGGGTCGTTGTTAAATTTGAAGCAGACGCTGTGTTTTTGTTGTTGTTATTATTTGCGTTAGTATTAGTAGTCGTCGTCGCCGTACAAGTAGTGGAAGTTGTATTAAGAGTATTATTATGTTGTTGTTGCTGTTGGCCGAAGAGAAATATAACTTCGTCGTCTCCTTCGTCGTTTGTACTGTTATTATTATTATTATTTGTATTAACATTAACACTGCTAATATTGCCGTTCTCCTCGCCGTTCTCCCCTTCGTCGAGGTATAGGTCTGGCTGTTGTTGTAGTTGGTTTGCTGCTGTTTGTTGGTTCTCGTCGTGGTGGTTTTTTATGGTATTTGTATCTTGTAAATTGAGTTTTTCGCCTTTTTCTTCTTTATATACAAGAAGATCGCTGTTACCACCGTTTGTTAATAATTCGTTTGTTTGTGGGTTTATATTATTTGTATTTAATTGTCCTGCTGTTAAATCTCCCAATTCATCGTCTTCCAAATGCAATAAGTTGGGAGTTGAGGACGTAGAAGGTATTTCTATTTTCGCCGTTAGTTCAGGGCAAATTGCTGTTGCTGTAGTAGTATCTACCGCTAAAGGTGGCGTATTATTGGAATTTAAGGCCAATGTTGTTTTTAATAAAGTCTTGTCATCAGTAAACAACCCAAAACATTCGTTATCCTCCTCTGATGACATCATAAGATGCCACCAAAATTATTTAGTTTCGAATGCCGAAAATACAAACAATTTGCAAAAAATCCTTAAAGGTAAATTTTGTTATTGTTGTTGTTGTTTTAGTTTTTTTTTAGTAGAAATAACGTTGTAGTTTGGTACTCTTATCCTTTTACTCAAAACTCCCCCTTTTTTTTGATGAAATCTTACTCTCTTTCTCAGCCAACAAGTCCTTGTTAATACTCTGGCTCTCTGCTGTAAAAGGCAAGTAAGTTAGCAAAGTAATAGGAATTTCGCCTTAAGTTCTCCTTCTTGATTTGGTTTGTTGGAACAAAAGTAATAACAATAATTTCGCCGTTATATTACACACACACATGAACATAATCTTAATAAATATTAAAGAAATTTTATATAGAGTAAAGATGTGTGTGTGTATATGAGTTAGACAAAAGACTAATGTTATTGGTGGTTCGTTTAGAATTTAGCTGAGAGATAATTTTCGAAGAGTAACGGAGTAAGTGTGTACGTGTACGTGTGTGTGTGTATTACGTATTCTAACACATACACCTTTCTACTTAAAACCTTTACACACAGTTACTCCCAGTATCAGTAATAATTTAAATAAATCTCTTAAACAGTGTAGTTGTTTTTGTTGTTTTACTTAAATATAAATGCTCTTCTTAAAAAGTTGTTGTTTTTGTTTTAGTAAGTTCTCCTCGTTGTTGTTGTTGTTTTTGTATGATTTTATTATGTTTTAGCTAAGTACGTAAATGAAATGGGTTGGGTTGTTGAGTTCAAGTTGTTTTCTGAATGAAATAATTCGCCGTAAAATTCTCCTTTCAAGTTGTTATTAATAAAATTTGAAATTTTGTTTTCTTAGCAGCAGCCTTTTATCGCCTTAATTTCATTGATAATTCAGTTAAAAAAAGTTATAGCAGAGTTTTGTTTTGTCAGTCTAGTTTTTGGTTTCTATTTTTCGTTTTAATTTAAGAATTTTTTTTCATATAAAGAATCCTTAAGTTTTTTTTGCCTGTGTGTGCGTGTTTCCTTTTTTTGGCGTAGCTTTGGGTATTTAGTTTTGCCTTAAACAAATACCTGTTTCTTGAGCTTAAGCGTTCGCTCTCCTCTTCTCCTAGTAGCTTTTTTTTGAAAAAAAAAGTTAAAAATTTTCGCCAAACTTAGAAATTTTGATTCACAACTTGTGTCTTGTTTTTCTCCTTTTTAGCCTTCCGGTTCAAAATGCGACGTTTACGTTTTTTCCGTTTTCTAATTGTAAATTTTGTTTTGAATCTTCTTTCCACCACCACACACATGCGAATGTCTTTAGCATTTAATTTTTAAGATTTTTGAATTTTTAATTGTTTTTTTTTGTGTTAATTTTTAGTTAAAGATATTTTTTTCTCAAAATTTCCTTCATTAATTTTTTTGTTTTTGTTAAAATTAAAAAAATTTTAATTTTGGTTGGGAATTTTTTTCTCTCTCCTTTCACGCGCTTAAAAGTCTCTCTGTAAATATAAATTTGTAAAAAATATTTAAACATTTTTTCAAAAAAAAAAAAAAAAAAACTCAAAATTTTAAAAATTATAAAAAACTCATCATAAAAAATTGTATTTCTTTTAATTATCTTTGAGGGGGTGGGCTGTTCGTTGGGCAGGAGAATTAGAAATTTAGATAAATCTTTTTAACCCCTTTTTGTGATTTTCTAAGAGTTTTATAATTAAAAAAAGGTTTTGAGTAAAATTTAATTTTTCCTTTATTTTTAAAAAGGGTGGTAAATCTGCAGTTTAACCCATTTAACTCTTTTATGAAACAGGTTAAAATTTGTTTGCTGGGGGTTGGGGTGGGTGGTTAAAGGTAAACAGGTTTTTGTTTTACTAAAGAAAATTTTAAAGGTCTGTTTTTTAAGTTGTTTCAAGTTTATTGTTCGGATTTTATATATAGATGGCGCTGGGTGGTTTAATTTTTAAATATTTTTGGTTAATTTAAGAATATTTTACGGATAGTTGTGTGGATTAATCAGTTGCCAAGTCCACGAGTGAGTTTGTGCTTGATGTATTGGCTAGCCTAGGCACCAGTACTAATATATTGACTAATCTCTTCTTTATATTACAGTCTGGTCTATTGCCTTGTCTGAACTATGGTCTCGTCAATAGTGTAGGTTATAGCCTGGACAATAGCCTAGTTATTAGTCTAGACTATAATATAGTTTGTAGGCTGGATAATAGTCTGGTCTTAAGTCAAGTCTCTAGTCAAGACTTTGATTTATTCTATAGTCTAAATTATGGTCTGTTTTATAGTCTGGACTATAGTCTATTCAATAGTTTAGTCCATACTCTGGACTATAGTCTAGTCTATAGTTAAATCAATACTTAAGTCCATAGTCTGAACTATAGTCTAGTTTATATTCTGGACTATAGTTCAGTCTATAGTCTGGACTATAGTCCAGTATATAGTCTGGACTAAAGTTTAGTTTATAGTCTGGACTATAGTCTAGTCTATAGTCTGGTCTATAGTCTATTCTATAGTTTAAACTATAGTCTAGCTCAGAGCCCGAACTGTTGTCTAGTCCATAGTCTGGACTATAGACTAGTATATAGTCTGGGCTAGTATAGTCTGGACTACTCTATAGTATGGACCATAGTCTAGTCAATTGTGTAGGTAATAGCCTGGACTATAGTCTAGTCTATAGTCTGAACTTCATTGTAGTGTATAGTTTAAACTATAGTCTAGTTATTAGTCTAGACTATAATATAGTATGTAGGCTGGATAATAGTCTGGTCTTAAGCCTAGTCTATAGTCTAGACTTTTTTCTAGTTTACAGTCTAAATTATGGTATGTGTTATAGTCTGGACTCTGGCCTACAGTCTATTCTATAGTTTGTCTGAACTATAGTATAGTTATATTCTGGACTAAAATTCAGTCTATAGTCTGGACTATAGTCTATTTTATAGTCCAGTCTATATTATGGAGTATAGACTAGAATATAGTCTGGGCTATAGTTCAGTCTATAGTCTGGACTATAGTCTAGTCTATAGTTTGGGCTATAGTCTAATCTATTGTCTGGACTAAAGTCTAGTTTCGATTATATTCTAGTCTATAATGTGAACTATAGTCTAGTCTATAGTCTGGACTATAGTCTAGTCTATAGTTTGGACTATAGACTAGTATATAGCCTGGGCTATAGTTCAGTCTATAGTCTGGGCTATAGTTCAATCTATAGTCTGGACTATAGTCTACTCTATAGTCTGGACTATAATCTAGTCTATAGTCTGGACTAGTCTAGTATAGAGTCTGTACTATAGTCTATAAACTGAACTATATACTAGTTTATAGTTTGGATTATAGTGTAGTTTATAGTCTGGACTATAGTCTACTCTTTAGTCTGTACTATAGGCTAATCTATAGTCTGGACTATAGTCTATTCTATAGTCTAGTCTATAATCTGGGCTATAGTCTAGTCTATATACTGGACTATATGTAGTCTAGTCTATAATCTGGACTATATTGTAGTCTAAATTCTGGACTATAGTCTAGTCTACAGTCCGGACTATAGTCTAGTCTATAGTCTGACTATAGTCTGGACTATAGTCTAGTCTACAATCTGGACTATATAGTCTGGACTATAGTCTAGTCTATAGTCTGAACTATAGTCTGGATTATAGCGTAGTCTATAGTCTGGACTATAATCCGTTCTATGGTATGGAATATAGTCTAGTCTAGTCTGGACTGTAGACTGGATTTTAGTCTAGATTATAGTCTATTTTATTGTCTAGTCAATTTTCTTGTCTATAGGCTAGTTTATAGTCTGCACTATAGTCTAGGCAATTGTCTAGTCTGTAGACTGGGCTTTTAGCTATTCTGGACTGTAGTGTAGTTTATAGTCTGGTCTATTGTTTACTTTATAGCCTGTGTTATAGTCTAGTTTTTGTCTTGTTATATTATGGTCTATTGTTCAGACGTTCTAGTAGATAGTTAAAAAAACTAGACTTCAAATGATTTAAAAAATACTAATATATAATTTTAAATGTTCTATGGGAATATTTACAATTTTCAATATTTAAACCTAAAGCCTGAGTTCAACTATTTGTATCAACAAATTTGTTTTTTTCCAAAAATTCCTTTACATCAAACAAATATTGTACAACTCTCCCTTATCCCAAATAAGGATACAGCACAATAATCAACAACAAACTTTCAAAAACTAAAGGAATGACTGTACAGACTTCGTAATGGAAAAAAGTCTGTTGCATTTCTACAAAGATATTTTTTGTATAGCAACTATCAATAAATATTATACGGACAACAACAACAATATTAAAGAAAATATAATTATAAAAAATTTCATCAACCCACCACCATCCAGAACTTTTGTAACTTTCTATGGCAGGCATAAGGATATTTAGTAAACCACCACCCTTTAAAATGGATAACAAAACTACAATAAGGAAATGCATTTTAGAAGGACATACCTATGCATTTGCATTAGAAATTTTTTTAAAAGAAATTAAATAACAGATGATTGTTTGAAATTTGAAAAGAAAATATCTTGAAATATTAACTGAAAATTTTCTTGTTCTTATTTTTAATAAATTAAAGTAAAAAAGGGGAGGAAAGTTACTTAAACTATAATGAGGTTTTTCTGTATTTTATATTTGCATTTCTTTAGTTTTAGTTTTGGAGTTGGAAATTTACCACAAACAAAGCGTTATTTATCTCTGTCGTCCATCATTAATCCTCCTAAAAAGAGAAGAGAAGAAAACAAAGAAAATAATTTATTAGAAAAGAAGTTAAAAATAATGGCAAAAAGGATTTATTATTTATAAAGGATTTTTAAAGTTTAGCAAAAAACTTATAACAATTGTAGTACAAGATCGGTCAGAAATTATAGAATCACAATTTTTTATATTTTATACTAATATAAAATCTTTTTTCATAAAAATTCTCTCTTAAAAAAAATAATTATATGATGCCCTACATGGTTCCACTATCATCACAAACACACATTCTTACTTACACCACTACTTCTTCTTCTCTAGTTTAGTGACGGTGCGTGCCATAAGTTATTGCACACCTGGACTTTATGCCTCAATACTCCGTTTGGTTACCACAGTAATAATGATGATCATAATTGTTGTTGTTTCATTGTTGTAGGGATTGTTGTCTAGCTGTGTTGTTCGTCTGTCCGTCGTTAAATTCCAAAAGTAAAATAACAACAAAAATGTATAACAACTAAAGACAAAGAATAACAGCAACAAAAACAAAAAATTGTCATTAGTTCCGATTTCTACCTGGAAATACTTACACATACACAAGTTTATATAAATAAACCCGTATCTTGCTTCCTTCAAATATTCGGTGACGCATGCGCATAAAATTGTATACCAGAAGCCAGAAGGCGTAAACAAAGTGTTGAAGAATGTGTAAATATTGTTAGGGTCAAAGCGAGTGTATGTGCAAATAATAGACATCTGATGGGATTTATTTGTAGTCAGCGAATGTGAGAAAAGGCATCAGGAAATTTAGATCAAAACGTTTCAGAAATGTTCTGAACTCGTGAATAAAATTAATTCGGTACGCTAAAGTTTGAAATATAAATTTTTAGAGTCTAGTCTATCGGCTAGCATATAGTCTAGTCTATAGTCTAGCCTATAGTCTAGTCTATAGTTCAGTCTGTAGCCTAGTCTATAGTTCAGTCTGTAGCCTAGTCTAAAGTCTAGTCTATAGTCTAGCCTATAGTCTAGTCTATAGTCTAGTCTATAGTCTAGTCTATAGTCTAGTCTATAGTCTAGTCTATAGTCTAGTCTATAGTCTAAGTCTATAGTCTAATCTATAGTCTAGTCTATAGTCTAGTCTATAGTCTAGTCTATAGTCTAGTCTATAGTCTAGTCTATAGTCTAGTCTATAGTCTAGTCTATAGTCTAGTCTATAGTCTAGTCTATAGTCTAGTCTATAGTCTAGTCTATAGTCTAGTCTATAGTCTAGTCTATAGTCTAGTCTATAGTCTAGTCTATAGTCTAGTCTATAGTCTAGTCTATAGTCTAGTCTATAGTCTAGTCTATAGTCTAGTCTATAGTCTAGTCTATAGTCTAGTCTATAGTCTAGTCTATAGTCTAGTCTATAGTCTAGTCTATAGTCTAGTCTATAGTCTAGTCTATAGTCTAGTCTATAGTCTAGTCTATAGTCTAGTCTATAGTCTAGTCTATAGTCTAGTCTAGTCTATAGTCTAGTTTATAGTCTAGTCTATAGTCTTGTCTATAGTCTAGTCTATAGTCTAGTCTATAGTCTAGTTTATAGTCTAGTCTATAGTCTAGTCTATAGTCTAGTCTATAGTCTAGTCTATAGTCTAGTCTATAGTCTAGTCTATAGTTTAGTCTATAGTCTAGTCTATAGTCTAGTCTATAGTTTAGTCTATAGTCTAGTCTATAGTCTAGTCTATAGTCTAGTCTATAGTCTAGTCTATAGTCTAGTCTATAGTCTAGTCTATAGTCTAGTCTATAGTCTAGTCTATAGTCTAGTCTATAGTCTAGTCTATAGTCTAGTCTATAGTCTAGTCTATAGTCTAGTCTATAGTCTAGTCTATAGTCTAGTCTATAGTCTAGTCTATAGTCTAGTCTATAGTCTAGTCTATAGTCTAGTCTATAGTTAGTCTATAGTCTAGTCTATAGTCTAGTCTATAGTCTAGTCTATAGTCTAGTCTATAGTCTAGTCTATAGTCTAGTCTATAGTCTAGTCTATAGTCTAGTCTATAGTCTAGTCTATAGTCTAGTCTATAGTCTAGTCTATAGTCCTAGTCTATAGTCTAGTCTATAGTCTAGTCTATAGTCTAGGTTCTATAGTCTAGTCTATAGTCTAGTCTATAGTCTAGTCTATAGTCTAGTCTATAGTCTAGTCTATAGTCCTATCTATAGTCTAGTCTATAGTCTAGTCTATAGTCTAGTCTATAGTCTAGTCTATAGTCTAGTCTATAGTCCTAGTCTATAGTCTAGTCTATAGTCTAGTCTATAGTCTAGTCTATAGTCTAGTCTATGTCTAGTCTATAGTCTAGTCTATAGTCTATCTATAGTCCTAGTCTATAGTCTAGTCTATAGGTCTAGTCTATAGTCTAGTCTATAGCTAGTCTATAGTCTAGTCTATAGTCTAGTCTATAGTCTAGTCTATAGTCTAGTCTATAGTCTAGTCTATAGTCTAGTCTATAGTCTAGTCTATAGTCTAGTCTATAGTCTAGTCTATAGTCTAGTCTATAGTCTAGTTTATAGTCTAGTCTATAGTCTTGTCTATAGTCTAGTCTATAGTCTAGTCTATAGTCTAGTTTATAGTCTAGTCTATAGTCTAGTCTATAGTCTAGTCTATAGTCTAGTCTATAGTCTAGTCTATAGTCTAGTCTATAGTCTAGTCTATAGTTTAGTCTATAGTCTAGTCTATAGTCTAGTCTATAGTTTAGTCTATAGTCTAGTCTATAGTCTAGTCTATAGTCTAGTCTATAGTCTAGTCTATAGTCTAGTCTATAGTCTAGTCTATAGTCTAGTCTATAGTCTAGTCTATAGTCTAGTCTATAGTCTAGTCTATAGTCTAGTCTATAGTCTAGTCTATAGTCTAGTCTATAGTTTAGTCTATAGTCTAGTCTATAGTCTAGTCTATAGTCTAGTCTATAGTCTAGTCTATAGTCTAGTCTATAGTCTAGTCAAAAGGAGAAATCTAGACAACTCCATATTATTGAAAACTTTTACTATTTGGTTATTAGCCAAAATATGGAAAATTATGTTGCCCAGTAGTTTAAACCCTTCGTTACGATTAAGAAGTCAATTAAAATTGCAATTTTCTTTTATCCTTTGTTTTTTATATCTTTCTTAATAGACTAGTCTATAGTCTAGTCTATAGTCTAGTCTATAGTCTAGTCTATAGTCTAGTCTATAGTCTAGTCTATAGTCTTAGTCTATAGTCTAGTCTATAGTCTAGTCTATAGTCTAGTCTATAGTCTAGTCTATAGTCTAGTCTATAGTCTAGTCTATAGTCTAGTCTATAGTCTAGTCTATAGTCTAGTCTATAGTCTAGTCTATAGTCTAGTCTATTAGTCTAGTCTATAGTCTAGTCTATAGTCTAGTCTATAGTCTAGTCTATAGTCTAGTCTATAGTCTAGTCTATAGTCTAGTCTATAGTCTAGTCTATAGTCTCGTCTATAGTCTAGTCTATAGTCTAGTCTATAGTCTAGTCTATAGTCTAGTCTATAGTCTAGTCTATAGTCTAGTCTATAGTCTAGTCTATAGTCTAGTCTATAGTCTAGTCTATAGTCTAGTCTATAGTCTAGTCTATAGTCTAGTCTATAGTCTAGTCTATAGTCTAGTCTATAGTCTAGTCTATAGTCTAGTCTATAGTCTAGTCTATAGTCTAGTCTATAGTCTAGTCTATAGTCTAGTCTATAGTCTAGTCTATAGTCTAGTCTATAGTTCTAGTCTAGTCTAGTTATAGTCTCTCATAGTTTAATCTATAGTCTAGTCTATAGTCTAGTCTATAGTCTTCGTCTATAGTCTAGTCTATAGTCTAGTCTATAGTCTAGTTTATAGTCTAGTCTATAGTCTAGTTTATAGTCTAGTCTATAGTCTAGTCTATAGTCTAGTCTATAGTCTTGTCTATAGTCTAGTCTATTGTCTAGTCTATAGTCTAGTTATAAGTCTAGTCTATGGTCTAGTTTAGTAGTCTAGTCGATCTAGTCTAGTCTATAGTCTGGTCTATAGTGTAGTCTATAGTGTAGTCTATAGTATAGCCTATAGTCTAGTATAGTCTATAATCTAGTCTATGTTCTAGTATATAGTCTAGTGGATACTATAGTCCATAGTCTAGTCTATAGACTAGTCGATGCTCTGATCTTATATAAAGTTCTTCAGAACCGAAACAGTATTGAAAACGTTAAACTCTTCTAAGGAATTTCTCACATTACTCCCTCCAGCAAAGTGTTTTAATAGTCCTGCTCTTTATTTCCCAACATTAACAATCATGTATGTTGCCAACAAAAATCTCCTAAAGAACACATTGTTGTCGTTGTCACTCTAAAACTTACAACAAAATATCGTATGTTTATTGGCTTTATAAAAAAAGAATTGTTTGGAATACTTAAAACAATTGTCATAAAAACCGCATTATTTTGAGGAAGTTTAAGTTAATTCTTGCAGCAAACTTTAGCTGTTTTCTGCATACAATGTAGACAAAACACTTTACTCTGTTAGCATAATAATAACCCCAAAAAACAGTGTATAAAAATTACAACTTTAAAAAGAAAATTACACTCGTATTGTAGTAGACAATAATAATAATTTTGTTGAAAGATTTTTATGATTATAGAAAAAGTTTGTTGGTTGTAAACTAATATGGTTATTTCTTTTTAAAAGTAATATGTAAAAAAACATATAAATGGTCATATGTATAAGAAAACAATTAGGGTGGCATCATTTGTTAAAGGAGTCAAACTGTGGCAAATATTTAGATTTAATGGTTTAAATATTTTTGTTTAAGTTTTTTTATCATATTTCTCATAATTTTCTGAAGTATTTATTGCATTAAAAAGCAAACAACTTTTTTGGATACCTCCCTAATATCATATGTTTATGTTGTATTTAAGCATAAGAAATTATATCAAGTTTTATAGGCATTATTTTCACAAGAAAATTATACAAGTTTTTCTTTTAACAGTTTTGGTAGAACTTTAGTTTAATATTTGCAAATTCGTTGCATAATTGTTGTAT